AATTCTGCATCGGGGAAATAGGGAAGTGATTCACTATGAAATATTATTTTATAATAAATTGTACCCATTTTTGCTGTTCGGGAACGAACAATAATAGRTCATGCGCCCGGTTACCGAGATTCTTAGTAGCATATAGCTAATCACACATACCGACCGTCGTATTTTTGTGTGCATACTGTATATATTATATGTATTATAGCTCATTACCATTGGTTGAATTCGTCGTGAGCTATGTGGTAAAGAGATTTGTGTGTGTACTTAAAGGCTAATGACTCAAGTAATAAATGGTAACAGGATTTCTTATGATTGAATTACTGTATTACGAAATGTAAATAACACCCAATAAAATAAATCTTGGCAAAATCAAAATCAAAATATAAATATATTGGTCGCTGCATATTAAACCCACAGTTAATTGACTCATTCATGTAYTATAGACTCAAATCTACTGGTTCCGATTTGCACATATACTTTTATTTTTGTATATGGCACTTATGTCCGTGAGTTGGACGCTTATTTGGCAGAATTTCTAATGGGCACCCGTAGGTTTCTCCCATGCCCGGGTTGAGGGCGGCGGCCTCTCACTCTCCAGACAGCCAGTACTGCCCARAAAGCGATGTCCACTCATTGTGATGTCACTCGACGGCGAGACAGTGATCACTGTACCGCAAGTATACTAACACACTATAAAAAGTTCGTTTATTATATTCACATACCGGTCAATGGAGTCATTTTGAACAGTAAAAGGGAAAATCCAATCAACTCTGGATGGGTTTTTATCAAATTTTACAATATTTTACTACTTTATTTTTGATTAAAACAATTTCTTTTAAATACCCATACAGTATTTTAGATTCTGAACGGAGCAATGAATGTATTGATTTTTGATCGACAAGACTACTAAAGATTGACTTCCTCACACTATTGATATTATATATTTCTAAAAACGTTATATTAAAAATATTACAAAAGATAAAATTTAAATAATTAAAAAATGTGCGGAAGTTGATCTAAAGTATACTTGACGAAAAATTCGAATTTGTTTTCAGAAATCTTATCGCTTCACTTTATATACGTTTGGCAGAGAACACTGTTAAAATTGTTTGTGTTAGACAAAGATAGAAAATCGTGGTATCGAATCCACTTAAGTAAATCTTTCCCTAAATAATTATCAAAAAATTATACACCATTATAATAGTATTAGAAGCATCACAAGTTTTTCACATTCCTTTCTGTGTTTTTACTATACATATACCTGTAGGTTTATAGTATGCGTTTTTACGAGCTTATGYTACAGTAAATAATACCATCAATTATTTTTTATATTAGAGCRAGCACTGGAARYCAATGAWAATGATGAAGAAAATGATTATCGTGAGTAATTAATAATTATTATCAATGATCTATACCTAACTATAATTTATAATTATTTATAATTTTGTTTTTCTGCCAATAACAAATTTAAATTGTAAAGTCTTCATGTATATTCATGTTTATTGTTACGGCCCGACTGAACGTCGATTCATACATCAACGTAGGAATGAAARTRTAACTGATGTATAAGTGTAACAATATCTTTATTTTACGTTTAAACTTGATACAAAATGACTATGTAGTAAGCCATAAGGTRTTGGTGAGCGGTGTTACGACCTGACTCTGAAATAATGATATAAAAGACAATGAGTGATGGTGTTACGACCTGCCTCTGAGTGTCTTGAATATCCCTAACCATCTAGCTCACATTTAAGAACCGTCTGGATCACATTTTAAAAACCGTCTGGCTCACATTTTAAAAACTTTCTGACGAGCTATTGTCCCCGTCTCTCCAGTCTCTCTTATATATGATTTGGTCCTTAGGGCCGGTGGTGACTTTCCTGTTACATGTCGACATTCGGTCTTGTGATTCAACTTAATATGCTGACCGTTTCGTATMCTCTCACACGGGTCTACAGTCATTTATAAGAAGGGACGTGTGAAAACACTTTTATAATTTAACCAATTTTATATTTTATTCA